CGTTACGTATTCTGTTTTTATTTAACTGGTCATATGCTCAAGATTTGATTGGTCAATAATCACGAAAGTCAATTGACATGCATGACCCTGTACCGTCAGCTTGATTGATCTGCCCGGCTTTAAGGAACCCCCCCAATTATATACATGAAGACCAATTTCCAGAAATCATGGGGCAAAGACTATGAAATAAATGAGAGCATACGATGAAAGAATTTTGGAAGAACTTTTTCATGATACATTTACTATTAAAAGAACTAGTTGAGTATGTTGATATTATTCCTATTATTATCTATAGTTCATAGTTCATATTTTTTCCATTGTTTAATTTTTAGGATTTTATATTGCTTCGAGATTGAGACGCTCTTTTTTACAATATTAATTTTTTTTTATTACATCAATCTAAATTTGATGACAATTTTGTCAATATAGACCTCTTTTCGTTAATCACGAAAAAATAATCCACAGGTAGTTATAAAACAATGCTGAAGTGTGTAATATTTTAAAATTTTTTATGTTAAAGTTTTTAACAATTTATAATAGGCTTATAAAACGAAACTTTCAAGGGGAGTTTGTTATCAACTTAGACATTGACGTTACTAAATTTGTCATTTTCTTTTACAAATACTCCTGTATTGGGCAAAGAAAATAGGGTATTTACGGCGATCGAGCAGTGTATCAAAGTATTTGTTAAATTTTGCTTTCTGTGTGGATTATAAAGTACTGTATAAATTTGTTAGGCTTTATTTTAAATTTTTTTGTATTTCTTTTGTGAGGTCAGTGCAAAATTCTCAACAGATGTATCAAAAACTTTGAAGATTTTACTATTACACTTTGGTACTCAGTAAAAATATTACAAAAATTTGGCGTATACGAAGAAAATTTTGTGAAACCAGAAACAGATTCAAAACCAATTTCTTTGCGTCAATACAAGTTGGTTTATATAGTGACATTTCAAGTGGATTTCTTGATATTAAAATTAAACATAACGGGCTATTACAAGCATTGGTGCATAGAGATCTTGATCCGTTTATGAAGCCATGAAGATGATACAAGCATGGTATAAAAAATCAAACAATTATTTTATAGTTACTGTTATCAAGTAATAATGAATCCACTATTTGTTATTTTAGGATATTAATGCGCAAAATAATTATACAGGTTCAATGTCACAAAATATTCAGACTATTATCAGCACAACATTATACTTTTCACTTTTGTTTAGTAATTATCTAAGAAATTTTATGAAATTCATGATATCAAAATCGATCATTCAGCTGTCTGGAAAGCTAGTGAAATTAGTAATGACAGATTCATTGGGTATACGCTAATTGAACACAAATGTGTATGTACTTATATTTTATTATCAACTTTTAGTTGCTATTATTTAACAAGTTTAAAATTTTAATTTTACAGTATCAAAAAAAAAACACGTACTATAAATACTGGTTTTTTCGTCAAGAGCAAGTAACCAAGGATAGAATTAGACTAATCAATCAATATTAGTGATGTCTATAAAAGAATATACCAAGAGTAAGTGTACTTGATATTTTTACTGCACTCAATATTTTTTTTATATGCATATGTATATTTTTTCTTGAAAAATTACTTTTAACACTTAATTTAATATTTTTTTTAAATATTCTTTTTTTTTTGAACAGGTGTTCTTATTGTTCCAAGTCTTTACATTTATACAAAAATCAATTATGTGAACGTATATAAGAATTTTGATAATGAAGATCTACCAATTCGTGAGGTGGGTTTGGTTTCGAATTTTCATTAAATGATAAATTCTAACTTTGATAATGAAGATCTACCAATCCGTGAGGTGGATTTGGTTTTGAATCTTCATTAAATGATAAGTATCAATTTTGATAATAAAAATCTACAATTCCGTGAGGTGGAATTGATTATTAATCTTTATTAAATGATATGATAAATACTATATAGAGTTCACGCCTTTACATTATACAGTGCCTTTATATTATATAAGAATCAATTATGTGAACGAATATAAGGATTTTGATAGTGAAGATCTACCAATCCGTGAGGTGGATTTGGTTTTAAATCTTCATTAAATGATAAATTCGAATTTTGATAATGAAGATCTACCAATCCGTGAGGTGGATTTGGTTTCGAATTTTCATTAAATTATAAGTAATTTTGATAATAAAGTTCTACAATTCCGTGAGGTGGAATTGATTACTGTATTAATCTTTATTAAATGATAAATACCATATAGAGTTCACGCCTTTACATTATACAGTGTAAATCAATTTTTATGCATAGACGTGACACATAATTCTTGTGATATTTAATTTTTAATTGAAATTTAAACGCTACTAAAGTTATTCGAATTTTGAATATAATTTTTTAATATAAAACTAGTACGATAGTGTTGTGCCACTATTTTATTCAGTATTTTTTAACATACATATTACAGTATTAGAGTTATTGTATTTTATTATAGAATTTACCTTTCATGGTACACATGTATGTATTGATTAGTTTGTATTATAACAATTGTAGTTTTTATTATGATTTATTGTGAAAAATTCCGTGAAAAAATTTACTTCTAATATGGTGTTATGGTTGAGTTATTTGTATTGAAGTTTCATTAATATCTGACTTATCATAAAAACTTTGATACAGAACTTGCTATTCTGGTAGTCACAATATGTAGGTTTGCGTTGTGATTTCTATATACAGTCAAACCTCTCTATAGTCACACCCATGGGATACAAAAAAGCGTGATTATAGAGAAGTGTGCTAATTATAGA